ATCAGTGTCATGCTGGCGTTGCTCCAGGCTGTCTTTCAAATCCTGCAATATGTAGAGGCGCGGCAAGGTGGTGGACGCTGATTCTCAAGTAGAAATTTGGAAAACACTACCTGAGTTACGAATTGAGGAGCGAAGCGACAGGCTCCCACGATTGAGTGTCCTGTCTGATCACCAGAAGCCCGAATGGAGCCCGGACTGCATGCATTTTGGACGCCACCTCGTTCGGGAGAGCCTTGCATGCAGCACTTCTGTTGCAACCAACCGCAGGAACGTGCGGGGAATAACTTCACACCTAATCGGATCGTCAGCACCAGCGTTCAACAGTCAGTCGAGGCAGACGGCCCCAAAGAGCTTGCCAGTCCCAGTCTCACCTCATGCATCATTCACGATACAGGTTCTGCTGCACAGACCATTTGGCTTTGTCAAGACTCAGAGCTACTACCGAGCGAGAAACGCGCCTTTTGTCCTGAAGCGCAGATTGGGAAGCAAATACCTCACTAGGCTGAGCGTCAATCCACCATGGCCGTTAAAGAAATCCAAGTCTTCAGGCTCGGTATTGAGTCACAGTTCGAACGTCTGACCGCGCAAGAGAAGCAATATGCGCACCATATGGCTCGGTAGGGAAATAACTCACCGTTCCCGGGTGGCAGGTGCTAAATGAGCTGACTACCTTATGTGGAGGGCCGCTTGGCTCGGAGCGAGAATCATCCTGAATCAGGTCTCGCCCGAGTCGCCTGCGATATTCGACTTTATTCTCGAGCTTTATCGTGTCTGCGGCGGAAACTGGGATACTCTCGTTGCATCAGCTGACATCAGCCGTCGGGATCTCCAACAGTTCCTGACCTACGCTGCAACGTTCTTGTCCAACATCGGCAATTATTTTGTGCGTTGTGAGCTCTTACATCACTCAGCTCGTACTGACCGAGACAGGGTTCTGGAGACCAAAAGTTCGTTCCTGGTGTCGGGGACGACGTGCTCAGCAAAATGGCCGCCATGTCCTCCAGACTCTCGGAACTGTACCACGAGATCTCAGCCTCTATCAACGCCATACCGCCCTTCAGTCTGGGCTATCCGAGTGAGACGACGCAGAGCAGCTACTATCTGGGAACCATCACAGAGCAAGAGATCAGGACAGTATCTAAGATCCTCGAGCAGCACGCCATCTTGCCAGAGAACACCAGAATCCGAAAGGCAGACAACGGCGTTGACTTTGAGGTGCTGCTCGCCTCCGTGGAAGTCGGCGTTACCGGACGCACATTTCCCCTCCCTGACGGAACGGGATCCGTGCGGTTGGTCAGGGGCGACCACTCGGCCGAGCTGGGTCGAATTTGCACTGAACTTCGAGAAGCCATCCAGTACGCCGCAAACGACTTGCAGAGAATATATCTGATCGAAGACATCGCAAGCTTCGAAACCGGCAGCCTTGACTCGTACCGGACCTCCCAGATGTACTGGGTCCGGGATAAGGGCCCGAGGGTGGAGAACATCTTCGGGTTTGTCGAGCCGTACCGTGATCCCCACGGCATCCGATCCGAGTTTGAAGGCGTGGTCGCCATTGCCGATGACGAGGAGACCAAGCTGCTGGCCAAGCTGGTGGAGAACTCAACCAGGTTCATCCGCAAGCTGCCGTGGGCAACGCCGGAAAATGATGGGAAAGGGCCATTCGAGAAAAGCTTGTTTGAGCCGCCGGATTTCTCGAGCATTCATAGTGAGTCGACCGTGCCTCCACAGCACATTAGTACAGTAGAGACTAGCGTAAATGAGGCGAATCTCTGACTGGCGGATATAGCGCTTGCATACTGCTCGAGTATCATCTTCCCAGGGATCAACCTACCCAACGTACGTTCGTACCCTCTGCGCAATCTTGCTGTTGCGCGGGCTGACATCATGTCTCTGATTCATATTAGTACAATGATATCCGCCAAGAGTGTGGCTTCAAGAACGTGATCATCGCCAACCGGATGGCCGCCGAAAGCCAAGCCAAGCAATATCGCTTCGTCGACCCCTCCGAGTCCGAGACGTTCACGAAGCACAAATTCCCAGCATACTACTGGTGGGTCGTGCTCCACGAGCTGCTTGGGCATGGCACAGGGCGGATGATGGTTGAGGCCGAGGAGGGCAAGTACAATTTTGACATTAGCGCCCCGCCTATCAACCCCCTGACGGGCAAGCCCATCACTTGCTGGTACAAGCCCGGGCAGACATGGACTGGGCAGTTTGGCAATCTAGCGACGACGGTTGACGAATGCAGAGCTGAGCTGGTCGGGGCGTATCTCATGGATGATCCCGAGTTGCTGGAGTTGTTCGGGTTCACCGAGGCCTCGGATATCAGCGGGACAGACCGTGAGCCGTATCCCCCTTTTCGCAGCTGTTGGGCGTCCGGACTATTAACGTTGCACGGGTAGTGACCTACAACCTGTATCAGCAGCTAGGCGTGGATGGCTTGCGAGGACTGGCCAACTTCAATGTTGACAGCGGGGTGAGTGATGAACGGCTAATGAACCAACAGTACGTGTTTGCAAGAAACTAACTTCAACTTCCCTTAAAGAGATGGGGTCAGGCTCACAGCAGGGTTCGTCTATTCGCCTTCAAGCTCGATGCTTCGCAGCCATGATTGACCGACTGATAACCACTAACGGACCTGACAGGCCCACTTCGCCATCTTGAAATGCCTTCTCCTGCACGGCGAGGGCGTGGTAACGGTAGCCCACGACAAGCCCGCCCAAAGCCTGAAGGTGACGGTCGACCGGGAGAAGATCGTCACTCACGGAAAGCCAGCACTCGGCAACATGCTCCTGCAGCTTCACATATACCGGTGCACGGCAGATGTGGAAGCCTGCCGTGCCTACTACGAGGATCTGTCCAATGTTGACGGAGAGTATCTCGAGTGGCGGGAAACCGTGTTGGCGAACAAGCCGCCCCCGCTTGTGTTCGTGCAGGCCAACACATTCCTGAATGGGGACGAAGTCGTTCTCAAGGAATACCAGCCTACTGTCGAGGGGGTTATTCAGAGCTGGGCCGAGAGGATGGTGTAAGGCTTAGTGCGTCTTCTTGGTTCAAAAGACGCGAATACCGAGTTGAAGTATCGAGCGGCTCCATGTTCATGCCTCCCCGACTCCCGAAGACCCCGGCCCAACGGTTACTTGACCACCTTCCTCGGCGCTCACAGTAACCCAACAAAATAATCCCAATATTGACACAACGAGCCCACTTGCCATCCACACGTTTCTCTGCTCAAGCCCTCGGCATCCAGAATCCACGGCAGATATTTGCTCTCCCAGTTCCCAAGTCCGCCATGCCGGGAACACTCCAACCTCGCTTTGCACAGCTCCCAGTAAGCAGGATACCACCCGGCCTGCTCCCACCCGATGATGGAAGTCACGCGCGGGCTGGGTCCGGCCGAGACAATGATGTTGCGCGGGTGAAGGGCTCCATGCGTGAACACAACAGGAACATCGTCCGGGAAGAGATGATGGGGAGTATAGCGAATCTGACCGCCCACAGCACCGGCATGCCTGCTCTGCGCGATGGTGACCGCCATGGAGACAAAATAGTCGTGAAACGCCGCCACCGTTGGGAACGGGCCGGGCGGCGGTGCTCCCGCCATCGTGCAGCCCCGAAAGACTAGATCCTGCAGCGGCCCGTTATCGACACTCCCTAGACGCAATCAGTATCCCCGTAAAGCATCCAAAACATCTTGTCGGAACACTCACCAACAAACCCAACACCACCCAACCTCAACCTCCTCCACTCAGCCACCACCCCTCTCAACTGGCTACACACTTCCCCCTTCTCCATCTCGCTCATCCCCTCCCACCTATCCGCCAAGACATCCCCCTCGGGCATCGCCATGTACACAAACCCCTCGCCACTCTCCGCATCCCGCCGCCACCCAAACACCTCCGGCACAACCGCCTCACAGGCCGTTGACCGGCGCACGAGCATCATGACCTTGCCCTCGCTCGCCGCCCCAGTGACCCCGCCAGCGCCTCCATTCCGGTTTACGCGGCAATGATACTTGACCATTAACCTGGTGGGGAACTCAGGAAACGGCACCAACACCTGCTCGGAATCCGCACTCCCTTCATGATCACTGCTAGTGACAACAACGGTACCCAAGCGTGCAGCAGCAGCAGCGCGCTCCCGGACCTCGGCTGGCGTGGGGAGATCGGGCTGCCATGACGGGGTGGGCAGGCCGTGGGTGCGGCGGCGGAAGAAGGAGGAGTGCGCGAAGACCACGTTGGCGCCTGGTGGGAAGACAGGTGTGACCTCGATGATATTATTACTGTTGGCGGGTAGTTGAGGATGAGAAGTTGTTGGTATTAATGACGACTGTGGGTCGGACTCGGAGGCGGTTATTGTTCCTGGGCGGGGCGGATTGGTGGTGGTGGTTAAGGTGAGGTTGGCGAGGGAGGAGTAGAGGGAATGGAATGGGTCACCGTCGTAGTCGTTGTTGTTGTTGTTGTCGTCGGTATGGGAACTTGAAGGGGCGAAGGGATGAGGGCGCCCGGGAAAGGTGTAGGTTGTTGCGAGCATCTTGTAAGCTGTCGGGCTACCGGTATGGGGCCTGGCTACTGAATTGAGAGATGAGGTGTGATGAGTATTCGGTTGCAGTTACATTAAATGATCTTGCTTTCAGTTTAGAGTGCAAGTGGGAAGTTTGGATTCGGAAACCACTCCGTTGATGAAAGTGGGCGACTGCATGTTGGCTTGTGGCCGTTGGGCAGTCCGCATTTGTCACGCTAAGAATGCTGCCCAACCACTCGCCACCAAACGTTGCGACAATAAAAATGGAGTTCGTCATTAGCTTGCATCTCTGCAGCAATCTACTGTTGCTACGTTTTGCAGCGGGTTTATTCGTAATGAGGCGGGGAATTGGTTCATTTGGTTGATTCGGACATGAACTGTTCAGATGACATTACGCACTTGCGTTGCCAAGGCAAGTGCACAGCACGGATCCTTTTAGGAAGGCTTTGCCCTTAACCACTTCATCATGTGATGGGCGCATGGTCTAGTGGTATGATTTCTGTTTTGCAATGCCTCCTTGGTACCTGCGAATACAGACGGTCCCGCGTTCGATCCGCGGTGCGTCCACTCTATTTTTTTTTTCTTTCGCCCTTCTCCCCCAATACTCAGGCAATCGGTAATGATACCTGAGTCTGTCTTGGCCTCGCAGTACGTCTGTACTATACGCTATGATTTTAAGCTGACTGAATGTTCCGTAAGTATTTACTGCGAAGGGATGACGTCGCAACGCAATCCGTAGTCCCTGTTAGCGTAACAGTACTGTATGAAAGGCACACCCTCTGTATTACCTATCCTAACAGCATGTAAAATACTGCACAAATATGGTAAGGTTAAGGTAGGTACTTAGGTCAATTGTACACTATAATGTTCAGGAGAGGTATGTACACTCCCCAGCATTTTAAGAGAAGATCATCTTCGTATCACCGCCGGACTGCCTCTATACAGAAAGCTTCTCGTTGAAACTGTGAGTGGAAACCATTCGGCGCCGCCGTATTGTGAAGTACAACCAGAATCCCACAACAATGGCAGTGATCGTGATAGCCAGGACGGGGTAGACCCAAAGGTAGGGCGACACGACATGTTCTCCGTCACCCGCATTCCAATTGAAGAAGGTCATGGAGAAGAGGGACTGCCAAAATATCAGCGTTTGAGAGTCTCGATTACGCTGCAAACAGATGCCACGTTGCGATAACTCACAGATACGAAAGTGCCCGGGAGAAAGAACATGGTCAGAAAGGCAATCGACCGCATCTGGTTGGAGTCTTCCCTGGTATCGCTGGCAATCTTGAGGTTGGCTTGTGCGTCTTGATAGCCGATCTGGTTCCATGACTGCGATGCTATCAGCTTGTGTCGTCCAAACCTCTCCCGCGGAAGACTTACCAACTGCGCGGACAGCGCCATCCCCTCGACAACCATCGAGCACTCCTTCACCTTGACTTTATACTCTTGCCGAATCTCTCTCAACCTCTTCTGTATCCTCCTTCCCGTTTTCACCAAGTTCCAACTCCCCCCTGCCCCTGAACCCGAACCCGAACCTGAACCTCTCTTTCCCGCAATAAGAGCGTCAAGCCGAGAGCAACACCCATCCATCTTCCCCAGCTCCACCATCCATGCCTCGAGCGCCGTCCGCAGCTGCCACACCTCGATCCACAGGTCGACGGAGTACTCCTCCCGCACCAGCTCCGACGTGGCCGATATGGTCCGCCCTCCGCCTTTGCTCAGAGCGCGCACCCGCTGCAGCAGGTGGAAGACGCGCTGCTGGACAAGTTTCATGTGCCGTTCCCTCTCGCGCTCGGCCAGGATGCCGGGGAGGATGAGCGGATGGATGAGCTCGGCGGCGTCGCTGTTGGCGATGCGGTTGGCGACGGAGGTGGTTTGGGAAGGGGTCAGGCCGAAAATGACGGCGGCGGTGAAGAAGTTGGTGGCTCCCCCCGGAGTGGCGGCGGAGGAACAGGGCAGGGGGTGCGAGGCGGATGAGAGGGCCAGGTCGGAAGGGTAGGTCGCTGAGGTGCGGAGGATGTGGACTGATTTGAGCGAGGGCATCAGTATTATGCTACGGTATCTGGTACCATATTGGGTGTGATAATTGAAATGAAGGGCTTGGATGAGACCTACACATGGCGTTGGCGGGGCTGTTGAGCAGGTCGATGTCAGTGAAGAAGGCCACGTCGGAACGGTTTATGATGCGTGCTGTGTCGCCGTGCAGAGGGAGGGTCGTGACGATCCTCTTGAAGCTTGCCCGAGTGAATGGGAGGTATTCAAGGATAGCGGGGTTGTGTCTGTTCTTGGGCTGCTCGGCGCGAGCTGCGAGACTGGGACTCGGTGTTAGCCGGTGTCCATGACGACTGCGTGAAGCTAGGCGGTTGCAGTGGACAATAGCAGAAGGGTCGTACATGACAGCTAATCCGGGACTTGACTTCCGGGCATCGATCTAAAGTGTAGCCATCAAGAGTTGATTTCTGTCCATGCGCATACATACAAACAAGCAAACCTCTTCGAGCCATCGTGACACATCCTGATCCGTTTCCAGCCAACATTCCGTTATGTCCTGCGGCTGAGTTAGTGGGGACTGTAGAGATAATAGTAGGGAGCTCAACGTTCCTCATCGCCCTCGAACCAGTAGACCGCTTTACTCCGTGTTGGTTGGTACACGAAAACTGAATCCAGGTCCTCGTCAAAGAACGCTGGGTCTGTTAGGGGCCAGTCCATTTCGACATTTGGGAAGTTGAGTCGCTGCTTCTCGGCGTGGGTCACGGAGGTGGGGTCGACGAAGCTAGTATCGGCATGTTGAGGCGCTGCTGGCGTGAAGAAGTCAGTGGCAGGCTGACGGCGATACTGTTGGTGGCACATGGGCTGTGAATACAAATGTGGCATTGAGAGTGCTGATTCCTGTGTGAGGTCGCTCGAGGTAAGGTAGTGTTGCACAAGGCGCACTGCTTCCGGCCGAAAAACAGTGGTTGGCCCGTGTTCTGCAATCGCACCACGACACGTGTCAGATGAAGGCGGAAAAGGCTGTTGCGCATGCTGCATCAAGTGCTTCCATCAGGCACTACTTTAGGCTGACTTGAAGGTAAGACCGCCTGATACCCTGGTGTAACCTGCCGCATCCCCCCCTTCTCTCCAGTTCAGTAAGGTGATGTAGGTACTAGTAGATAAGGCACCTCAAAACTCGGAACCACATCCTCAGTCGGCGCCCTTTGTACCTTGGCAAACTGAAACCAGCCAGCCACAGGAGCCCCTCACAGCCACCCAAGCAATGGCTGTCCAACAGGTGATCCATCTGCGCTATAACGACCTCGGAGCTCTCAACGAGGAGCTCACAAGGCTGTTCGGCGAGGGCAACTGTGGGGTCGAGGTGTGTCTCAACCGGTCTTCTGTCAGGGCTGCGCGAAGCCTTGGCTAACTCCATCATTGTCTCATGTAGTTTGAGATGGGCCAGATCATTTTGACTCTGCCTCGTGCGCTTGTCGAGGTGAGATCGTCTGGTTTGGGTGTCTGAACGGTTTTTATTGGGCCTTCAGTTTTCCGCTCTCTTCATTTTGGTGTCCATGTCCACAATGAAGGGCTCAAATTATTAATAAACTTTTGGGCAGTCCGAGATCTTGCGAATCCAGAGCAAGCGGCGGCACTACAGAAGTCGGTCAGACCGACGCCGTTAGGTGTTGTGAATGTGGTTATGCGCAATGCGGTTCACTTGCATAACATTCTGTCGAGCACACCGACGTCCAACGGTCCAAGGCTTCGCTGCACGGCGAGCTTGGAACGCGGGGAATGTACGTGAATTACGATTTCCGCATTTGTTGATTCAGCCGGATTGGAGTCTGAGAAGGGGTTGCCGGGAACCTGGGAGAATGGGACTGATGGAATGCATGTCAGTTTCAGTCGGTTTAATTGCTCTTACGTACGGTAGCAATTGGCAAATCGCAACAATTTACTTTCAGTTCAAGTTGATGTTTAAAAGAGCGCTAAAGAGGAAAGCTTGACATTCTTCTGAACCCCTGGCGAGCCCCTGCCCAAGAGAAATTATGCAGCTCCGAAGAGGCTTGATCTTAAGAAAGGAAACCCGTGAGCGTGGGAAAGGGTGACTTGGAGGGATGTTGCAGCGCTGGGATGTGGTAGCGCACCGCTGACGCGACCCTCCTCATGGCGGAAAGCTAATGGTAATGTTTGGTTGGGTGCGTGACACAAAACTTCGGTGAAGCCTCCAACTTCAACCAAGGACCGACAAGGCTACATGATTCTGAACTTATTCACTTCGCCCTGCATTGCCGTCGGTCAGCAGTCGTCGCGATTACTCGGTCGGAGTTTCGACGGAAGAGTCCATACCTGAGAGATTGGTCGTGGAGCGCGAATCCTGTAGACATCCTGCTCGACATCGACGTTGTATCCGCCGCCCGGAAAGAGGGAGGTGAGCAGAGAGTTGAGCTCACTTGCGCCGATATGGCTGCATGGAATCTCGTGCAGCGTGGCTCGCTCCTGGAGCGTTATCTCAACCTGCAGAGGCTGCAGCGGCAATCGCTGGCGGCCAGTGTGGTTGGCGGGGACTTGGAGAAAATTGGAAGACATGATGGTTGGCTGCGGGCGAGGGTTTGTCGATCCGAACTGCAGAGTCGTTAAAGGCCGTGTCCAGGTCAGTGCTTTGGGCAGCTATCTTACCAGGGGTGTCAGGGTCTTTTACCTTGTTATGTGTCTTCGTCTTCTCAGCCGGTTCACAGTTGAGGGGTTGCCTCAGGGGCTGACCACAGGCGACGGTTGCACAATCGTTACTCTCACCGAATTTTGTGTTACCCGCCACGGCACCACCTCCAAACGCGACCAGCTGCGGCAGGGCACGGCCGCACAACAGACAGCAGAGCCCTGAGAGCCTGGAAGTACGCCGACAATGTCTAGCTACCAACGAAGGGCACGACTGGGGACGAGGCTCTGTGTTGCCAGGGTGGGTGGAGAGCAACGAGTTGGACCGTCCCAGCGGGAAGAAACCCTCACTATCCACCTATAAAGGGGGCACAGCCAGGCCCGGCTACCTGGCCATGCGGCCACTTGTATGGATCTCAGGGGCTAGGGTCATTGATCACAGCCTCGTTCATCATCCATTCCCAGACACACTACAACGTTCATTCTCAGCCATACAAGATCGAAATGACGCAGTCTCACAATGGCTCCTCTCAATTCTTTGAGTCATTGCCATCCGTCGATATTGACGGCTTGCCCGGGGAGCCTGGCAACGCCCGTGACACTGCGAACCCTGTCCCGCATCTCGCCGCCATTCGCGGTCAGGACATCCCCCTTATTCTTAGGGACGGTGTGGAAGTATCACAGCATATTGGTAGCCGTCGACGGGAAAGTGATGCCGGCAGTGAAGCATCGCGTATCACCAGCATGACGATATGGGACCGCGGCGAGTCGCACTACCGTGCCGAAAACCCGATCGCGGCCCCCGAGCCCACCAATGGAGAGTCAGCCATGTCGGCCAACGAGTCTCCCGACCCTCTCGTGAACCGTCTGCTGAGACTCAAGACCCGGTCAGGTCAATGCAATGGCGCCTTCTTCTACCCCAGGGGCGAGCT